AGGGCACCCTTCTCCTCCAGGGGTGAAGGCCACCCCTAAAACCCCCAGGGACTCTTGAAGATGCAGCTGAAAACACCTTATAAAAAGCCAGAAAAGCTTTTTCTGCTCATCTTGGTAAAGGAGAAAGTTTGGACAGGGGGGTGATGCAGGTTCTCCTGTCATGGTGTCCCTCAACACCCGCCATCCCTCCCAGGGGGTGATACCAGGGCAAAACCCACAGGTTACGAGGGCAAAACCCAAAGATTAGGGGGTGAAACCCAAAGCTCGGGGGGGCAGCAGTCACTAAAGGGTTTGTACCTTGGAGAAGGGCAGGCTGAAGGAGCTACAGCAAAAGAAAAGAGCCAGTTCAACAGCACAACAGCAAAAAGGAGCTTGGTTGGGGTTTGGGTTTTTTTTTTTTGTGTTATTTTGTGTTTTGGTTGGTTTTTTTTGTCTTTTAAATCAGCTTTATTTTTCTAACTGTTATTTCAATTTCCCATAGCACCTTGGCAATGTCAAAAACAAATACAAATACATGTATTATCATTTTAACATTTAAAGCATGAACCTACTTTACACAAATTTTGTTTTGGACAGTTTTGACAACAGGAATATACCAGAACAGACAAAGTATAGAAGCCAGATAGGTTGTTTTTTTCTCCTTCCACTGAAGCCCTACCACTTTGAAGAGAGATCATAAATGCCAAGGGGAAGCTGGATTCATCCGGGAGGAACAAGATATCTGTCATAACTTGAGCTCAATATATTATCTGAATATTTTGTATTCTATAAAAATTAGAACAAAACCCATTTGTGCACAGTCTGTTTACATTTGAAGTTGCATTTTTGGAAACTGTATCCATAACTGAAGCTCCATAAAAATAAACCTCTGGTTCTTAAATATAAAATTTTAAAGTTGTTACAGGTTAAGTTTGCAGATGGATTTTTCAGAAATAAGTTGCTTTAACTCCATTTCAAGTCCTCCCAACTGTACATTAAAAACAGACTCCATTAAACTCTTGAAGTGCCTGCACTAAAGGCACTTAAGAGAAGAGCCAACTAAAATACTACAACAAACCAAAATTATGTACCATCCTAAAGGAAGCTCAGACTATATGTAATATATACACACAAAGAAGAGCATGATAAATCATTCAGATTAATGGCAACAATCTTATGTTTCAGAAGGAAATATCAAAATTAGAAACAAAAATTCTATTGCATATCTGTAGTAATCAAGGATTTACAAAAAAACTTATCAGAAGCAATTTCCCCCCGAAGTGCATTTCTGTTGCATCGTCTGTAACACAAGGGTGCATTTTACAAATTTAAAATATCATCTGTACATACCAGATATTTTACCCCAGGTGATCAGTCACTTGGGTAACAGTAAAAATAGCAGACATTTTCAAGACAATTAAGCTGATATTGACAAAGTAGTAAGGCCATAGCTATTGAACTACAGTAAAGCATTGATTAAGTCACTTATTTGCTACTGATCTGCCACAGTATCATCCTTCTCTTCTGGTTAATAGTGGGTTACTCTTTTTTTTAGTATTATTTTTTTACTTTTTTTTGTTTTAATCTACTGCTAAAACTGCACCATCATACTGTGCCAGGCTAACTTTAGAAAACAAAACAAAACAAACACAAACAAAAATAGCAGGATTAAGATACTATAAAACTAACTTAAAATTAAGAAATCAAAAGAAAAAAAAAACAACTTGTTGCACTTTAAATTTTACTATCACATGCAAATATTACGTCTCACTCCCCAGCAGAAGCACAAGAGAGAGGCCCAATCTTTTCCATGCACAACCACTTGGAAAAGAACTCAACCTGGGGAAGCACACCTCTGTAGCTAACAACAAAAATAAGAAGTCAACAACTCTGAAAACAAGTCACAGTTCATCAAACTGAAAGTTACACGTGATTTGCACCTTCTGGTACCTCATCTCAGGTAGAGTTAAAATCCCTCTTCCCCTTAGGTGGTGAGTTACCAAGAAGGAACCACGGGGAACTGTTGTTTGTCACTTCAAGTGCACACTGAACAGGGCTGGGGAACCAGGGGCACTTTCACCTCTGCTGATGTTGTCCCCCCTTTGTCCTGTCCCACCTTGGTGGGCACAGACACTGTTGCTGGGCCTGAGTCCATCAGGGGGATGAGAATGTAGCAGCTTAGCCCATCTACCTTACATGTTTGCCATGCAATACAAGTACTGCAGGAGAACTTGCACACAAAACTATGGTTTTCACAGCCTTTTATATTTACTTGGTTATTTATGCCCTCCCCCCCTCCCCCCAATCTGCACACACACACAAAAAAAAGAGAAAGGAAAAAAAGAACCAGCCAACCCCACAGTTATAAACGGGGGGGGAGGGGGGGTGGGGAAAGGGAAACACTGAAGTGAAATCTTTGCAGGTATCAAATAAATAATTTCTGAGCGCCCTAATCTGATAAAACTTGGAATATGCTGGAAAAAGCCACCAGTTTTACAGACTGATTTGCATACACTGTACAAGAGCCTTAATCTGCTGCTGGAGAACACACACCTGGGACACACAAAGCATCCTTTCCACCATCAAGTTTTTCCAATCACCTTACAAGAAAGATTGAACTGCAGTTACTATTTATTTTTTTTTCTCCACATCTAATAAATGAAGAAGTTACATGCCACAACTGTTAAAAACTCAGCTACTTTCAGCACTACAAGGTCACTCTGTGCACTGCACACGGATCAGAACTGGCACCTTCACCACGGACACCAAGGATCAAACATCTGCACCAACCTCTTCCCAACAAACCTCTTCCTCTGAGCAGCAAAACCAGCTCCTGGCATCCCAACACTTCCTCAACCTTGCAAGGTCAGTGCACATCTATCCTAAATATTTGTTACTATCACACAGATTTATTTTTTTCCTCCACTTTGACTGCAGTAATTGTTTATAGCCTTTAAAATGATTAAAAGTTAACTCTGAATCCATTTCATTTCAAAACTTTAACACTTTTCAAAAACATTTAAACTTCTCTCTCATTCCCACACGTGTATCATTCCTGAAACACATGGAGAAGGGTTCTGTAAGTATCTTTAAACTGCAGATGTGATCAACAATATTTTTTACTAAATTAAAAAAAACCTCCCAAACCCAGTACAGGTAGTTTAAAAGTGAATAATGATTTTGGTTTCTTTTTTTTAATATATATATATATATAGATGTATATATATATGACATGCGTAGAAATGAACAGTTAACTGCATAAATACATTATCTTGTGTTATGAATCAAATCAAAGCAACTGCCAAGCTGAATAATAAGTTAGAGAAATGACAACTCTGGCTTTATATATATATTTATAAAAATAGATATGAGTGTTCTCAAAGCAGTTGATAGAGAATGCCTACAGAGTAAGAAGTTGCCACGGGTTATCTGGCTAAGAAATCAGAAGATGATTTTTTTCACAGTTATTTTAACCTCCACTTACATTCATCCTAATGGCAACACTAGCATATATTACTAAGATGTTTACTGTATATTTCACAATTGAGTTTTCCAGTGTTCACAACTTACAACTTTAACTTTGTACATTTGCTATTCACTTAAAAAAGAAAAAAAAAAAAAAAAACAAACCCAAAAGGTGTGATTCTTACTGCTGGAAGCTACTTTTCCCTACCACTTTATACAGAACTTGGAACCCTGGCATGCTAATTTTGGCAGATTAATGCACTGAGTTTTCCTATTTCAGTCATTACTGTAATCACCTTTAAACTTAACCACTTACTACACAATAGTGTTGTAAATTTAGTCAGCTAGGCAAGAACTTTCAAGTAACTTCTCTGAACATGAGGGGTTTTGTTTAGCCTTTAGTTCCACCTTCAACAGCTAAAAAGTCAGTTGCTACCACATCAGCTGTAAACATTGAGTTCCCAGTAGATACAAAACCTGATTTCTAGCATGAGTGTCCCATGCCCTGCTCCAGAACACAAGACAGGTCAGCATAAAGAACACCCAGCCACATCTCTGATCTGCTAACCAGTCAGAGAGACATCAGCTTAACTCTGGTGGGGCAGCCAGAGCTCCCCCTTGCAGAAATTCCACCCCTGGAATTCCACTATGGAATTTCCAGCTCTTCATTTGTCACACTAACATCACCTACTGTGTAGCCACCCACCAACCCTACACTGGGCCTGCCTCAGGAAAACATACCAAAAGAAATGCACACAAGTCTGTGATAAAGAGATTAGAGAAAGCAACAAGCAGGATTAAAAACAAAACCTAAGAAATTGCCCTCAAAAGGAGGGAAGGAAAAAAAAAAGAGCAAATGAAAACTTCTGACGTGCTCCCTTCTGCCTCCTTCCAGTTGCCTCTAGAAGACAAGATTTGCTGCCCACGTGCTCTGATCTACAATCCAGCATCCTGCACAGGTTTAGTTTAAAAAGCTTGCTGAATGAACTATTAGTAAGGTCAAGAGACTACACTTCAAGCTGGAAACACAAGGTTTACTACAGCAGTACATTCAGGTTTTCTCATCAGTGACTACGTCGTGACACCAGTATCTGGCTGCACTCGTTCCACTCACACACTGACCCAGCCCCTCAGCTGCAGACGTGCCCTGCAGTGCCAGGCCACCCATGGCAGACACACCATCCAACAAGCCAAGTGTTAAATAGGTTAAAAAAAGTTCTAATTTTACAGAAATGCTCGGGTTTTTTTTTTTCAAAAAATAAGATTCTCTTATCCTTTTCCTCCCATGCTGAGGGACAGGTTAATTTGTCAATTCATATTCTTTCACTTTCTCAAAACACTAGTTTCACAACCCCAAAACTGATTTCAAGCAGGAAACCCTCTGCAAATTAAAAAACAAAAAAATACAAAAATTATAATCTCTATATTTATATTGATTGGAATCCTCCAGCATTTGCGAAATCACTTTTGAGAGATGAATTTTGGGACCCTCCACAACTCCTCCACACAAGCCACGCTCCAGTTCAGTATTCCCCTTCACGAAAAACACTTCTTTCTCACAGTCTCCTTTGCTGCTCAATCAGTCCACAGCTCAAATTAAATAAGAGAATAATTGGCTGGACAAGTGTTACTTTGGTGACCGGGGTGGCACGTACTGCTCCTTGCCGATCCGTCGCGGTGCTCCCTGAGGCGATGATCTGCGTCCAAACTGGCGCCTCTGTTCCCTGATTTTCCCAGCAGCTCCCCTGGGAGGCCCGTTGCCTCGGAACCCAGAATAATCCTTCATTCGACCTTCAACCTTCTCCTGAGCCTTCTCAGGTGTGCTGCTTTCTTCATTTTTGGCAGGGGGAACGATGTTGGTGCGATGTTCCCGAAGAGGCTGGACAGGAACAGGAGGAGGCTCCTTTGGGGGCTTCTGGCAAACTTCAGCATAACTCAGCTTGCGTGGCTCCTGTGGGACCAAAGAAGAGCAAGGTTTGCAGACCAGAATGTGTCCCTGCTGTGCTCCTCCAGACTATCCCAGGCACCGCAGCAAGACAACAAACAGCAAGCGATTACACCACGGCTGGGGCAAACTGCACAAGGGAAGGTCCCAGGTGCTGCAGCAGAACATGCTGCAGAGAAAGCTCCCCATGTTCCCCCAGTCCCTGCTCTGGGCCCTACCTGCACTACTGACAAGGCAGAAGCTGCACTTGCACTCGCAGTGGGAGAAGCAGTGTTTGTCCTTGGAGGCTTTGCAGCACTGACAGGAGAGACGGACACCGGTGGGGAAGCGTGGCTGGGAACATCCTTCTGAGCAGACACTTCTTCTGTTTTGCTGTCTGGCTGAACTGTGCTGTTAAAACCAAGAACAATCGAACACTAAAACCTACTCACACAGAAATTAATGTTTGAGAAAGCATTTTCTTTCTTTGAAGACACAGCTGCACTGTTTGCAGAGCAGGATGGTGCAGCCATTACCACCCATGACTTGTTATTTCCATCTAGTGGCCTCTGGAGAACCTGCCCACCACAGGCAGAGAAGAAACACCAAACATCACTGCCACCTTGCTGGTCACCAGCCAGAGCCTTTGCTAGAACATGCAGATGTTAATATTCTGGATTCAAGTAATCTGCTTACCTTAACACCACAGCTTCAGTCTGGGTTGGTGAACTCACACTTGTCACAGGCTGTTGGACAGTGCTGGGTGGCTGTTCTTCCTGAGCAGGAGCTGGACAGCTGGGCAGCAAATCTTTGCTTTCCTACACAGTATGGAAAGATCAGAGATGTGCTTAAATTGCTCCTCAATATGCCCTACTAAAACATCTGAGAAGTGGGATATTGCCAAAGGCTGCTCAGGCCTTGATTAGAGAAATTCTACTTCTTTGGGAGCACTGTCTCCAGAGCAATCAGGCTTTATATGGGCAAAACAAGCAGTGGATAAAACGAGAAGTAAGGCTGGATCCAACAGATTATCAATGCCTGGTCTCATCAGCTCAAATAACTGACTCATCTGGAAACAGGCCTTGCCTGCACAACACAAACTGTTCCTGCTTCAACAGGCAGCACTCCCCATTTGCCTGCTTTATCCCAGAACAGTACCCAGCCCACAACAGTGTCACTACAGCCTCAGCTAAACCCCTAAGCTAAAAAGCCAAGAAAATTGAAGACAGAAAAGGCACTGATACACAAACATAGTGTGATGTCTGGGCTTAAAGCTTCTAAGGTGCAGCTCTAAACAGGCTCTTCAAGCAGGGAAGAGGGAGACACAACAAATCCACAGTCCTGTGTGTGCCAGAAAAGAGCTGGTACCTTTTCTTTGCAGACTCCTTTGACAATATCTGACATCCTGCTCTCCAGCACCGACTCTCCTGGTATTTTTGCTGTGCTGCCAGGCAAAGGTGGGAAATTTGATGCTAGCAAGTCAAACTTTGGTGTCTGAGTCTTTGTTTCTGCTGAAGGTTGAGGTCTCTAGAGAAGGAAAATAACCTTTAACAGAGCCACAACACTGAGAACTAAAAGCATTGAACAAGGGTCAGGGAATTTCCTAGAAACACTGGATGTCTGCACTGGAATCTGAGCAATTAAGGACCAAGCCATTCCTTCAATAAATGCAAGGCCAACACATGGCACTTTGTGCAGCTCGTCACAATCAGGGAAGTGGAACTTACTGAAACTCGGTCGTCTTCTCGTCTCCTCCGACCTCTGAAAACGTTCCTCCTTTAAAGGCAAGAAGAAGTCAGTCAGTGCATTCACCTGCAGTGCACATCCATCTGCACAGCAGGGGGCCTGTGGCAGGGGTCACAGCAGCACAGCCTCCTGATGCTGCTCAGGACACAGCTCTGGGTGTTCCCCATCTTCAGGAGGGGTCAGAGCTCTTACACTCTTGGAACATCCCCAATAGGGGAAGCTATTTCTCTTCTCTCTCCCCATGCAGGAGGTGCCCCAGAGCATTGTATCTGAGCAAGTATGATTAGAATGTAAGATTACAGGATAGTATTCTGTAATTTTATAGTAATAATAACTGATTTCTCACACCTTGGTCACTTGGTCTCCCACCTTGGTCGCTTATTTTTAAGTGTCTAAACTCTGAATTAACAAAAGCTACAACCAGTCAATCTTAGAATATTTAGGAGCATCAAATTTCCACAACTGATGATTTGCTTATTAGTTACAGCAATAGAATTACCAACTTTCCTTCAGCAACTCTTAACTCTGGAGACAAATCAGGCTGTTATTCTGAAATAAAGACACCTCACCATCTTACTGCAAGGTCTTTGTCAGGACAACTAGCAGTTGCACAGCCAAGCAGGAAGAATTCATGCTTCCAGCTGAGTATTTATCATGCCTGGCTTATTGAAATGTCAGTTTTCTCCTGGTCAGTATTTACAGAAACACACACTGTGCCAGTGGTTGATGATCCTTGGCTCTCACAGGCCACCTGAACCCCCAGCACCATATCCCAGCAGCAGCACTGGGAGCTCCTCACCTGCCCCTGCCAATGCCATAATCTCCATTCTGCTCCATCTGTGCCGTGGGAGAATCCTTCTGGGAATAGCCTTGGTCTTGGTGCCCCGGTAACGTGCTGTTGTGCCGCTCCATGACGAAGCTCCTGGAGCTGGTTCTGCTCAGTGGTCCCTCCCCCAGGGGCAGGGGGCTGGCGGCAGCGGGACCCTCGGCAGCGTGTTCCGAGCTGCTGGGCGAGCGGAAATGCGGCTTCACGCTGCGGGACACAGAGCAGCAGCTGTGGAACCCAGGGCTCACAACAGAACTCCAGGCAAGCACCAACCACAGCTCATTTCTAGCTGACAAGGAAGGAGAGGGGCAGTAGAACTAGAACTCCATCAGAGAGGCCATTTCCATTCATAGAATGGTTTGGGTTGGAAGGGACCAAGAAGACCATCTAGTTCCTACCCGCTTCCCACCACCTACATTTTTTATTGCAACCTCCTCTCAAGTGTTGCCATTTGAAGAAAACATCAAGATCACTGCCCAACAGATACCAAGGTGAGGAATCAAACCCCTGTCCCAAAACCCAACCAGCCAACACAAAAACCTCAGATCTAGGGGTGGCAGGAGAGCCAGCAGAACCCAAAGAGGGATTCCTCAGTTGTCTGGGCCTCCAGCACAGGCACAGGGTGTTGGAAAGTGATCTGGAGAACCAAGCCAAGCCTGAGGAACAAGCTGATCTGGCCACAAGCAAAAAGCCTGCATTGAAAAAGGAAGTCAGGAGTAGATGACAACTGAACAGGCTGGAGAGAATAAGGGAGATAAGGGCTGGGGGTAGTTGAGTGCCCATCTCCCAGAGGGTGAAAAGCCAGGATCTCAGTCTCACTGTCCCCATTATCAAATTCCCAGAACACTGACCCTGCAGCTCACAACACCACAGACATTTCACCCAGTTATTGATTATTCAGCATGAAAGCTGCATTTCCCTGGAACATGGAAAGGCATGTCATGGATGCCACAGACCTGACTGCCTCACAAAGAGGTCATTTCCTTCCAGCTTCTACCAATAAACTTGCTCCCTCCTACCTGACCAGAGAATTTAAGGTGGGAGGAAAAGAGAGCAAAATAAGATAATTCAACAAATAACAAATTATCATTTGTTAGCAGTAAATCAGAAGAGCAGTAAGTGATGTGGTGCAGAAGCAGATCCCTCTCCCTGCTCAGCCTTTGTCCTCTGGTATTTTAAGAGCCAACTCCAGCACTCTCTGACAGGCCTCTCCACAGCCTTACAATTAACAGCTGGAAGTTCTGCAGCATTTCATGTAACCAGAAAGCAGAACAAAAATCACTTTTTAATAGTCAAATTTTGAGCAAATTCATCTGCTCCAAAGACATTCTATAAGTTACCTTTCAGATGACTAGGCAGAAAAACCACTAATTTAACCAATATTAGCACTGAGGATTCTCTGTATATAAAACCTCAATTTTCTGTTCCCACAAGGATGTTGCAACAAATCAGAGCAAAACAAATATGCTTGGCTTAAGCAAATGTTTATCTACAGAGAAAAATCCAATACTTAACTATTAACTGCCTGATGACAAAACAAATCAAGCTTAATGAGCCAGGACAGAACCCCAAGAGCAGCAGCTGGATTAAGCTCTCCACATGAACTCCTCTGCAGCTCAAGAGAAGACACACTGAACAAAGATTAATTCATACTTCACAGCACCAAGAAGCATTAAGAACCAGTTTGAAGGCCTCAATAAGGTTAAGTTTTCCATCAGCAAAAACCACAGGGAGGAGGAGCCAAGTTAACAAAATCCTTCCATTTTGTTCATAAAATGGAAGCTTCTCAAGCCCTTCTTCAGCCCTCAGATCTCATAATCTTACCCGTCATGGAGAAGGCCACAGTCTTGTCTGGGCAGAAGAGCAAAGCAGAAAAGACATGAAAAGATAAGGAAGAAGAAAAGAACGGAAAAAAAAAAAAAGCAGAGAGAAGGAGAGATTATGTGAGAGAGCAAAGAGGAGGAGGAGCATGAAGTGCAGGCTGCCCAGACAGCAACTGCTGGACCTGTTCTCTCTTAGCGCGATACTTGATCATCACTGGGCCAAACCTGGGGCTGAGCCTCATGTTCCCTTGCTGAAGTCTTTCTCCTGCTTCCAGGAGATGAGGATTTATTCCTGCAAAAACAGATCTTTCTGCTGGCACAAAGGCTGAGCAAGATTGGCAGGAAAGATAAGACATCCCAGACAGACCAGCAGAACCTGCTCCCACTTGACCCTAAAGCTCTAACTTCACCAGTCTTAACGTAACCAGAAGTTTCAAAAGCTTCAGGAGGACACAGATGTGATCTACAAGGCAGCAGTGAACATATGGGTATTTAAGATGTTAATATTTGGGTGCATACAATTAATTCTTGCACAGTTTCAGCATCCAGCCATACTTCTGACAGGTTCCATAGGCATGGGAGTTTTACAGGTTTTAATTTTGGGCACAATTTAAGGCACAAACCCCAACTCTTTATTTATAAAGACCTTGGCTGGGAGCCGGGCAGCTGCAACTCAGCCAGCTGTCCCACCTTCCAAGTAGTCACACTACCAGCTTCACAGCCTGTATTGACACTCTGCTGAGTCACTACAGACCAAATTCCAAAGTCCACCAGCCACAAACCTGAACTGCACCACAAAGCCACTGCTGGTACCTGCAGCTGTCAACCAGCTTCTCCAACAGTATAAAAAGCAACCCCTGTGCTGCCAGCCCGCATGCTCAACACTCTGAAAGAGCTTGCAAATAAAACAATTTCCACCCACACAAGCAGATTACTACTCCATTGTACTCAGAGGACTGATCCAGCAAATATAAAGCTGTTTCCTCCTCCCCAGTGTTTATATCTGAGTCCTTAGTTATCAGCAGAGATGGGGATAAAGCAAATAAATTCTAGCAACAGCCTCAGCACGGAGCAGTTCCAGTTCCAGGGCATGCAACTCCCAGCTGCAGAAACTGACTGGCTCTCTGCAAGGCTAATCACACCACAGGAAAAGCTTACATGTGTGCTGCAGGAGTTTATAATCTGCATATTACAAACACAATTAGAAGTATTACCTTAAGAGGAAGTTATTTGTCTGTAGAAACTCCTCTGAGGCTTCTAGAGGAGTTACTTTTGCTCTCTCCAGCACGTATGTCCATTATTTTTAGGATCTTAAGGTGCCACCTTGCTACTCATTTTATAAATCAAGTTGAAAAACGTCACACATTTAATAAACCAAGTCAGTAATGTAGTCCCACCACAAGACACTGTATTTTACAAGTGCAAGGAACACTTCAGGAGTCCAAGTTGTCAGAGAGCAAACAACTGGCAGAGCTGTCTTACCGATTCCTATGGAATGGGCGACCTATACTCAAAGAAGCAGCATTTGTTTTATATGATCCTGGTGTGTTAAAGCCATTCACAAATCCACCATTAGGAAAGGGGGCCTGCAACAGACAGAACAGTCTCAGTGGCTGAACTGAAAAAGGAAAACGTTTGCAGTTTTTATGAGATCAGCAGTTATTCATCCAGTCTGTGCTTTTACACTGGGCTGCCCTATCTGGTGTGCTCTCAACTTCCTATTGAAGCAAAACCCCCACCAGGTTCACAGGCTGCACATCTACTTGGGCATCAGAGTCCTCCTGTTCTTGGAAGAGCTACAAAGCTCCTGGATAATGCAACTTCACACCAAAACTTCTGGAAATAAGTGGCAGCCAATGGTGAGACATGCAGCCCCTCTGACAGCCTGACTGTCACCCAGTCAAAGTACTAGAGGGATCTGACTAGAAAACCTGTGAATTCTACAGCTGAGAAGCCCACTAAAATTATGGATTTGTACACCAGTTTTGGGCTTGCTCCCCTCACTGTCACTCACCAGTGGTGTTTCAAAGTAAGGTGCAGGATTTGGAGACCAGGTCTGAGGCACGATGCTGTAGATGGAGTACTGCTGGGGGCTGTAGACAGGCTGCATGAAGAGTGGGGAGGCAAACTGGGCTTGGGTTTGGACTGGCTGAGGGTAGACACTGGAATCCACTACCCGGTAACCATTCTTAGCAAAAAATGTGTTGATGGCTTTTATCCTGGCCTGCAAGATATCAAATCACATCACAGGCATCAGCTGGGAGAGAAGGAGCAGCAGAACATGACATCTTTATTCTTACTGAAATGAGAGCAGAAGGGATGCGAGGAGGAAAGATGTTGATTGCTGCTTACAAATCAAAATTCTGATAAAAAATCAAGCCAGGGTACAACCCTGCAGGGTACTGGGGAAAGACACAGGCTGCTCTGGCTGGAGGGTCTGTGCAGATTAACCCACACTGCTGCCTGGAGAAGCTGCTCAGCCTGCAATTTTGACAGCTCCTCTCACAGCACAACTTGATGCCCCCGTATCTGTCCAGCAGCAAACTCAGGCTG